TATCTTACCAAGTCTTGAGACTGCTGGCTTCTCTGTTAAGGAGTTAAAAAGACAAAAAACTGTCCCCTTTCCTTTCCCCTTCCCCTGTCCTTTCCTGCATTCTCTTCTTAAGGAGGCTTTTAACCATTTTCTCTCAAGTGTCCTTGGCTGGGGAAGATAAAGGGCTGTACATTTACAAGTTGGCTGCAAAATGCCACACTGTTTGGCCTTGCTTAACTTTCCTGTCTCAGTTTCCCTATTCCACTTGCCATGGAATTTTCCTAGCTTTTCACTGTCCTGTAACAGTATTGTTTTGAATGTTTTAAAGCTTTATGCAGTCCTGTACAAAATAGTAATAAATTGAATTCAGCAGCATATAAAAAAGATTTTATACACATGAACAAGTGGGATTTACTCCAGAAAAGCAAGGTTAATTCATCATAAAAAACACTAAAAACCCGGCTGGCATGGCTCAGTGGTTGAGCCATTGACCTATGAACCAGGAGGTCACAGTTTGATTCCTGGTCAGGGCACATGCCTAGGTTGCGGGCTTGATTCCCAGTGGGGGATTTGCAAGAGGCAGCCTATCAATGATTCTCTTTCATCACTGATGTTTCTCTCTCTCTCTCTCTCTCTCTCTCTCTCTCTCTCTCTCTCTTCCTCTCTGAAATAAATAAAAATATATTGAAAAAATGAATAACTAAAAATTTTAAAAATCAATTTAATATACTATGTTGATACAGTGAAGGAAAATAGAGGGCATCTGTAATATTGTCAACAATAAAAAATAAATTAAAAAATAAAATAAAGGACAAAAACCACATGATCATCTCAATAAATGCTGGAAAAAAATTTGACAAAATCCAGCCTTTCATGTTTTAAAAAAAAATTGACAAAGAATAGAAGGAAACTTCCTCAAGCTGATAAAGAGCATCTGTGGAAAACAGCTAGCTAACTGTATAGTGAATAGTGAAAGACTGAAAGTTTTCCCCCTAAGATCAGGAACAAGACAATGTGTTCTCACAGCTTTTAACACTAGAAGCCCAGTGCACAAATTTGTGCACAGGTGGGGTCCAGCCAGCCCGCTCCAATGGGGACTGATCAGGGCTGGGCTGGTGGGGAGTGAGGGGGCTGTGGGTGGTTGGCCAGTCAGGTGTTGGGACTGATTGGGGGTGGGGCTGGCTGGGGGGAGGGGCTGTGGGTGGTTGGCTGTCCAGCCCTGCCCCCAATTGAGGTGGGGATCCGATTGGGGTTGGGGCTGGCCTGGGGGAGGGGCCACGGGAGATTGGGGGGGTGGCCAATCGGGGCCCAGATCAGGCCAGTTGGCCACTGCAGTGCACATTATAGTGACCAGTCATTCCAGTTGTTCTGCTGTTCCGGTACTGGGCTTTTATATATATAGATTGTACTGCATGTTTTTGCCAGGGAAATCAGGCAAGACAATGAAATAAAAGGCATTCAGATGGGAACAGAAGTAGTAATACTATCTCTTCTTTGAAGCTGACCTGGTCTTATATATATAGACAATCCTAAGGAATCCATAGGAACCTATTAGAGCTAATAAATGAGTTCACCAAGGTTGCAGGATATGTAACCAGACAACCAATGGGTCTGAGCTGCCTGTCACTACTTGAACCAATTAAGCAGAGACAGGGTTGAATCATATATGATTCCAATATTCTATTTCTGCCCCTAACAGATATATGATCAATATTTTAAAATGGTATTTCTATACACTAGCAATGAACAATCCAAAAATAAAATTAAAACAATTCCATTTATAATTAATATAAAAAGAATAAAATCCAAGGAATAAATTTAATAAAAGTGCATGATACTGAAAACTACAAAAGATCATTGAAAGAAATGGAAAGATTACTATGTTCATGAATTAGAAGACTTAATATTGTTAAGATGGCAGTACTACCCAAATTCAACACAATTCCTATTAAAATCATAGGCTATTTTATGGAAAACTAAAAAGTACTTTTAGTGATTTCAGAGAGGAAAGGGGAGGGAGGGAGGGAGAGAGAGAGAGAGAGAGAGAGAGAGAGAGAGAGAGAGAGAGAGAGAGGATGTGGAAAAAGGGAACTCTAGTACCTGCTGGTGGGAATGCAAAAACTCCCATTTGTCCCAGTGATCCCACTTCTAGGAATATATCCTAAGAAACCAGAGACGCCAATCAAAAGAATATATGTACCCTATGTTCATAGCAATGCAATTTATGATAGTTAAGATTTGAAACAGCTCAAGTGCCCATCAGCAGATGAGTGGATAAAAAAGCTTTGGTACATTTACACAATGGAATACTATGCAGCAGTAAAAATGAAAGGACTATTACCCTTTGAGACAGCATGGATGGGCATAGAGCGAAATAAGCCAGTCAGAGAAAGATTATCACATGACCTCATATGTGAAATCAAATGAACAAAATAAACTATTGAACAAACTAGATCCAGAGACATAGAAGCATGGAATGAACAGACTGATGAATTTCATAGGGAAAGTGTGGGTGGGGAGTGATTAACTTGGGAAAGTATGCTATATAATATAAAAGGCTAATATGCAAATTGACCGAATGTTGGAACAACCGGTCGCTATGATGTACACTGACCACCAGGGGCCAGACGCTCAATGCAGGAGCTGCTCCCTGGTGGTCAGTGCGCTCCCACAGAGGGAGCGCTGCTGTCAAGTGCAGCGGTGTTGGCGGGAGCCTCTCCTACCTCCATGGCAGCCCTAAGGATGCCACTCCCCATGGGGAGTGGGTCTAAGCTGTCAGTCAGACATCTCCTGAGGGCTACTGGACTACAAGAGGGCTCAGGCCTGGCTGAGGGCCCCCCCAACCCAAGTGCACGAATTTCGTGCACCGGGCTTCTAGTATGTATATATGGACACAGACAGGAGTGGTGAAGGCCTGGGAGAGGTGGGTTGAGGTGGAGGGAGTTGAGGGGATCAATGTGCAGCCACTGTGGAAAACAGTATGGAGTTTCCTCAAAAAATAAAAAATGGAACTCCCATTTGACTCAACAAACAAAGGGGGCATCTGTAACACTTTCAACAATAAAGAAAAACACAATAAATGAAAATATGTTTAACCAAAAAGAAACCCCAAAACATCAGTGATGAGAGAGAATCATTGATTAGCTGCCTTCTGCATGCCCCCTACTGAGGATCAAGCCTACAACCCAAAATTTTTGGAATAAAAATTGAGTTTGGAAATAAGCCCTTACATTTATGGTGAATTAATTTTTAGCAAAGGTACCAAGACAATTCAGTGAGGTAAGAATAGTCTCCAACAGATGGTACTGGGACAACTGGAGATACACATGCAAAATAATGAATTTAGACCCCCTACCTCACATCATACACAAAAATTAACTCAGTGGATCAAAGACCTAAATATAAACTAAAACTCTTAGAAGAAAATATAGGCATAACTCCTTAAGACCGTGTGTTGGGCAAAGGTGTGACGTAATTCCAAAAACATAAGCAATCAGAGAAAAATAGATTAATTGGACTTTATCAAAGTTAAACTTTTGTGCATAAAAGATCACTATCAAGAAAGTGAAAAGACAACCCCCCAGAATGAGAGAAAATATTTTATAAGTTGTATATCTGATAAGGGATTAGTATCCAGAATATATAAAGAACTCTTATAATTCAGCAATAAAAAGATAACTCAATTTTAAATAGGCAAATATTTCAGTAGATATTCTCCAAAAGAGACACAGATGCCCAATAAGCACATGAAAATATGCTCATCATTAGTCATTAAGGAAATACAAATTGAAGGCCACTTGAGATACCATTTCACATGCTCTAGGATTGCTGGAATAAAAAAGATGGACAATGACAAGTGTTGACAAGGATGTGAAGCACTTGGAACGCTCATATATTGTGGTGGGAATATAAAATGATGCAGCTGCTTTGAAAATAATTTGGCAGTTCCTCAGAAAGTTAAAAATAGAGTTAAACATGACCCAGCAAATCCATTCCTAGGAATCTACACAAGAGCACTAAAAACCTACATTTACACAAAAACATGTACACAGATATTCAAAGCCATATTATAGTAGCCAAAAAGTGGAAACAATTTAAATGTCCATCATCCAATGAATGAATAAATAAAATGTGATGTATCCACACAATGCAATATTATTTATTAGTCATACAAGAATGAAATCATGAATGAACCTTGGAAATAGGTTAAATGTAAAAAAAAAAAAAAAAGGCACATGAGATCATAGTGTAGGATTCCATATATATGAAATGTCCAGAATAGGCAAGTCCACAGAGAGAGTGGATTAGTGGTTGCCAGGAGCTGGGGAGACAGGAATGGGAAGTGACTGTTGATGGGTATAGATTTCTTTCGGGTGTGATGAAAATGTGGAATTAATGGTGATGGTTGCACAACCTTATGACTATACTAAAAAGCACTAAATTGTATACTGTAAAAGGATGATTTCTTGTGGTATATGAATTTTTTTTAAGAGGGGAGGAAATATATATAAATACTCATAACATAATAGGAAGGTAAAGGACCCAATAAAAAAAAACAAAACAAAAAATGGGCAAAGGGTATTAAATGACCTTTGACAGTCCTAAACCTTAATAGTTAACATTTGATGGCTAATTATGTGCCAGGTACAAAGCACTTTACATATAAATGTATTTAATTTTTACAATCAACTTTGAGATAGGCACTATTGTTATTCCCACTTTACAGGTTAAGAAATAGGGACAGTAATTCAATATACTAGTTAATGAATATTGGAGTCGGAATCGAACCCACAACCCTTTGGTGCATAGGCCGATGCCTTAACCACTGAACACAGCGGCCAGGGCTGTCTTATTTTTTTAATCCTCATTGGAGGACATGCTTAGAGAGAACTCACATTTTTATTCACACTTTATACTGTTTTAAACCCACACCATTCTTTTACAAGTCTCTGTGTGGATATGTTATTTCCCAGGATGACTCCAACCACCTGCAACATAACTATTGTTTTTCTCCTTTCCAGGTCCATTGATGAGATGAAACGGTTGGAGGAAATGTCAGCTGTGTTTCAGAGCCCTGGGGTTGAGCGCCACCCTCCAGAACCAAAATCCCAAACAGAAGGAAATGAAGATTCAGGGGGCAAAAAGGCACCATGGGAAATGGTGATGGATAAGAAACACTTTAAGCTGTGGCGTCGCCCTATTACAGGCAGCCATCATTACCAGTACAGAGGTGAGTCCAATGTGGCTGCCTTGTGGGTTCCATGGTTACCCCAGGTGCTCAGGACTTCTGTTCCTCAGACTAAATTGTCTGTTCTGGTTGTTTCTCAGGAAATTTTACATGGTTTACTGTTTGTTGTTTTTCCTCTCCTAGATGACAAGAGTCTCCCAATGTCTTCTTTGCTGTACTATGCAGTAGGGTGTCTTTGCCACCCCAATATGACTTCTAGTTTCTGAATCTGCCTTTAAGATCTGTCAGTATTATAATTGAAATACAGTAAAATGATAGGAATGTGGTGAGTGATGAGAGTGTGGTAAACATCCCTGATTCTTATCATTCTAGTTTTTGGAACCTACACAGATGTTACGCCCCGGCAGTTCTTCAATGTTCAGGTGAGTAATTTTTTTCCCCTAATTTGGAGCCTTTAAGCCTAGAAATTCACCATCCACATGAATAATTTCTCTGACTCAGAAAATATATTATGGCTTCAATACATTCATCTACCTCTGTACCCCTCATCTCACATTGAATAGCATCGGGGTAAACATTGGACTTACAATTTCTTTGTCCAGTGGGGACAGGACCAATTCTACCCCCTCAATAACTAGTTGGTTATAGCACCCACTGTAATATGCAAGTGCACACGTTTCCCTTAAGGACTGAACTTTGTGAATTTACATTGAATTTTTATTTGTTTAGATGTGTATGATAGTGTCTTATTTTGCAATTCCTTAGTTACTAGTGATGTTGGAAATTTAAAAAAATACGCTACTTGCATTTCTTTGTATGAGGTGTCTGCTCATCCTTTTGTACTTTTTATCTGTTTAAAACTTTGAGAATTGTTTTACCCTTACACATCTGTGTCACTATCTCTTGTATTTTTCTCAGACATGCGTACCCGTTAGAGTATTTTTTTTCTTACATTGTTCTTTAGTTTGTATTTTTCTTGTTAAGATTCACTTTCAAGGTACTGGTATTGGCCTACAAGAAGAGATTTTAAGACTTATATGTAGTAAACACAACCATGTCTTTCACACGTTAATGCTGTCTTTTAGGTTGGATCACAATTTCACAAGAAAGTCCTTAGGTCAGAGGCCCAAGCATCAGGGGAAGGCTTCTGCAGCTTTGTTTTAAATCTCTTGGGTCTTTTCTCTTTCCATAGCTGGATACAGAGTACAGAAAAAAGTGGGATGCCCTGGTAATCAAGCTGGAAGTGATTGAGAGGGATGTCATTAGTGGTTCTGAGGTTCTTCACTGGGTAACACATTTTCCTGTGAGTATTTTTACTTCTGGTTTTACTTTGACCACATACATATGAGGCAGAACAATAATCCTGCTCCTGTTTGTTTTTTAGTATCCAATGTACTCACGGGATTATGTGTATGTTCGGCGGTACAGCGTGGATCAGGAAAACAATGTGATGGTGTTGGTGTCACGGTATGTATTTTACCTGGGATTCCTGCTGAGTTCTGTTAGCTGTGTCCTTTACTCATATATGTCTGTAGTGGGTTTGCATGTTCTCAGTGCCCTTATATAAGTGAAGCCCAGGCCCATCCATCCCAACTAGAACATGAGTTTGAAGGGATATATGCTTTTCATTAAATCATTTCTTCAGTTTCTTAATATTGATGATTTAAAAAAGAAGTGCTCTGTCTTCAACACAAGGCCTAGTGAACTGGGATTTACCATATAAACTCACTTTGTTTTAGAAGTTAGTTTGTATTAATTTGTCTTGGTGACTCGTCTGTTATTTATTTATTTATTTTTGGAGGGTTAATCCTCCTGAGGGTATTTTTTCCATTGTTTTTTAGAGAGAGTGGAAGAGAGGCAGGGAGGAGAGAGTTTCATTTTATTTTTTTAATCTTCACCAGAGGGCATGCTTAGAGAGAGGGAGAGAGAGAGAAACATTGATATACGAGAAGAACATCAATTAGTTGCTTTCTGTACACTCCCCAACTGGGGATTGAACCCACAACCCAGGTATGTGCCCTGACCAGGAATCAAACCTGCAACCTTTCGGTGTATGGGATGACACTCAAACAACTGAGCCATTGTGGCTGGGCTTCTCTGTTGTATTTTAAATATTAGTGTCAGCTTTTTAGATTTTTCTCATAACTTTAGCTCCTGTGCTATTTTGTATGTTGACATTACTCAGTTTCCTTAATTTTTCTCCTTATCAGCGCTGTGGAGCACCCTAGTGTGCCAGAATCTCCAGAATTTGTAAGGGTCAAATCATATGAATCCCAAATGGTTATCCGTCCCCACAAGTCATTTGATGAGGTGAGTTTACATCATTCAAGAGGTGATGTGATGTCGCTTTGGAATTTTCTCAAGGAATGCCTTTTATCTGAAATGGAGAGGGCATGGGTGCATTGGTTCTCAGAATCTACTGGAGCCTGAAAAGTTGCATTTTTAAGAAGTTCCGAGATGAGGCTGATGCTACTGGACTGGGGACCACACTTTGGGAACCTCTGCTGTGGGCTGATAGACCTGGGGGACCCCCCTATGACAAAGTTCCATTTATCTGAGAGAGAAGAGAAGATGACAGCCCCTAACTCAGCCTATGGTTAGCAGCATTCTTTAGGAATCATTAAAATTTCACCACAATCAGCAGATCATATATAACCTTTCTCGACTTCCATTTCCTTGTCTATAAAATGAGAGGGTTAGACCAGCGATATTTAACCTTTTCATCTCATGGCACATTTAAACTAATTACTTAAATTCTGTGGCACACCAAAAAATATAATTTTTGCTGAACTGACAAAAAAAATAGGTATAATTGATCATTCACACCAGACAACTATTGTTGTGTGGGCTGTTGTCATTTTTTAACTTAACAGTTTAAAGGAAAGAGGTCAGTGCCCCTGACTAAATAGTCGGATGTTGCATGTTTTAAAAATTTTTGTGGCACAATGGTTGAAAATCACTGGGTTAGACTAATGCTCTCTGCCTTCCTTAAAATTCTGTAGCCATTTTTTGAAAATATTTTCTTTAACTTAGTGGGTGTTTTGTTTGTTTTTAGCAAAATTTTTGTTGAATGTACATGTTGATTTTAATGTTTGCTGTTTTTAGTTCTACTTCACTTTATATTTTTGTGCTGCCTTTTAAAGCTATATGAACTGTATTCTTTAGTACGGTTTTATTGTTTTCATCAAGTTGTCACCCATAACCTTACAGTGTATGGGATGACGATCCAACCAACTGAGCCACACTGGCCAGGGCTCAAGTTGTTTTATTTATACCACCTGAAGTGGGACTTTAAAAACCACATAGAAATTGTGGTTCACCTCAGGCAATATGGTGTATGCCTCTCTTTTTACTGGGAGATCTGTGTGTTTAATTCAGAACTATTTATAAAGAAGAATTTTTTGTTTTGTTTTGCTAATCCTCATTCAAGGATATTTTTCCACTGATTTTTAGAGAGAGTGGAAGGGAGCGGGGGAGAGAGAGAGAAACATCAATGTGAGAGAGACACATAGACTTGTTGCTTCCTGCACAAGCCCCAACCGGACCCAGGGATCGAACCTGTGACCCTTTGGTAGCACAAGCCGACAATCTAGCCAATGAGCCACGCCGTCCAGGGCAAGGATTGTATAGTTGTTATTTATATTTATATCTACCCTTTTCCCCTGTGCTGAATCTAAATTCTCACCACCACCCCAAGGTAACCCTCATTTACTTTAATCTAAAACACACAAATCAGCCTCAGACTAGTAATACCAACAAGATTAAGAATGTGATGACTGAAAAAAATGTGTCTCCTAAGTCTTATAACTGGCCTCTGTGGTGGGTACTGTTCCCATTCCCGTTGCCTGGGCCTGTACCTGGGTTGCGGGCACATCCCCAGTGGGAGATGTGCAGGAGGCAGCTGATGGATGTTTCTCTCTCATCGATGTTTCTAACTCTCTATCTCTCTCCCTTCCTCTCTGTAAAAAATCAATAAAATATTTAAAAAAAAAAAAATAATGTGACATTCAGGTAATATTGAGTACCTGAATAAAAGAATAAACCATTCACTCAGGGAAAAGGATATGGACTTGGTGTAAAGGCACAAGAGAAAGTCTAGGTCTGCCACCTGGATTTGTGGCCGTCTGCCCTACAAAGTGCAGACACAGTAGTTCCCTCTTACTCCTTTGGGTGGAGCATAATTGATTCGGCCCCCTCCTAAGGTCAGGACACCTATAAGTCTCTTAGTCCTCCTCCTCCTCCACACTGTCAGGCAGTGAGAGGGCTGACCTAGAAAACGTGGATACATGGGCCCCATGGTCAGAGTCCTGGGTTCATGTTGGCTCTCGTTGAGTGTATGGGGGGTGACCTTGGGCCAAGTTATTTAACCTCTGAGCTGAGTTTCCTCATTTGTAAAACTAGGGCTAATAGGTCCTGCATCCTGGGATTATGTGAAGAATTGAAGCAGTTCCTGACACATAGTTAAGCACTATGTAAATGTTTGCTGTCAGTAGTAGAGTTAGTACCATTCTGGCAAAGATTAAGATCTTTAAACATGGTGGGTATGTGTTGGGGTACTCAAGCCACCCCACATTAGAAAATTCACTAGAAGGACTCAGGGGACTCAGCATGTAGTTGTCCTCACAGCTAAGATTCATCACAGCGACATATCAGACTGCACAGCTGGACCATAGGGAAAAGGCAGAGTCCACCTCAGAAGACGAAAGGCACGTGCATGCTTCCCGTGCCCTCTTCCTGTGTGAGAGTCACAGAGAGCCCATTCTTCTGCCAGCAACAACAGTGCAGCAACATGGATGTAATGTTCCTGCCCAGGGGAGCCCATTAGAGACCTGGCACCTGATACTGTTATTGGGGATGGTTACCTAGGCACCCTCTGTCCAGCACATAACAAAATTGCAGAGCCCCAGGAGGAAAGCAAGTGCTCAATATAAATTGCTTGGTTTGTACTAATAGACACACACGGGATCACCTTAGCAGTTGACTGGGGACACTCTGGGAGCCAAGTTCCCAGACTCCAGCCAGGGCCAGCCTCGCAAGCAGGCCTTCTATGGATGCCAACCTCCCAGTCTTCAGTGTTAATGAACTCCTCTGCTTAGTGTAAAAAAATGGCACTCTAACCCACACTCAGGTCATGGTTATCCTGAGGGCCTGGATAATGGAGGCTGCGGTGGGTAATTCTGGTACCTTCATCTTGGCTGTTTTTCTTTTCCAGAATGGCTTTGACTACTTGCTGACATACAGTGACAATCCCCAGACTGTGTTTCCTCGCTACTGTGTTAGTTGGATGGTTTCCAGTGGTAAGTGGGCACTTGTGTGCAGGGTCTGGAACCTGTGTTGAGCGTTTTGTTTTTCTCTAGCTTCTTATTGACGGCAGCAAGATTAGTACTTATGTCACTGGAGCCCTGTTGCGGAAATTAAATGTCCTTCCAAACTTGTGCTTGAATATTATAAAGCTGTGGAAGCCTCCAGCTGGATTTGGAGGGATGAGAAATATGAAGCCCCAGAAAGGACCTGTGCTCAGAGGGGAGTTTTAAGAAGAGCATTTGCTTGAAGCCTTAAATATGGACTGTGGGCATTAATGCACTTAAAATTTTTCTTCTTGGATAATATTGGGGACTTATACTGGCAGAGAAAATGTCGTGGTTATCACCTGGAGAAGGGCAGCAGCTGTCCTAACAGAGGCTACACATCATGGCTGTGCCTACACCTTTCCCTTTCAGTGTCTTGCCTTATAAAGCACCCTGATGTGATTTTCTTCTGGAATCTTGTACCGCAGGGGAAGAATGCAGAGGATATTTACCGAAATAAAATAGGCAGATATATAGGCTGTGCCACTGAAAAGTGATGTCTTTATCACCTGAAAGAGCTATTTAGGATTTAAGTGGCCTGATTCACATGCCTTTTTAAAGGATTTCAGAGGTCATGAGTTGTTTTTACTCCCTATACATTAAGGAAGGATAGGCTCCACCATGAAGGAATTTTGAGCCCACTGCTGGTTTGTCAGCCTATTCACATTCCCCTCTCCCCCAACAGGCATGCCAGATTTCCTGGAGAAGCTGCACATGGCCACTCTGAAAGCCAAGAACATGGAGATCAAAGTAAAGGACTATATCTCATCTAAGCCTGTGGAAATGGGTAGTGAAGCCAAGGCCACCACCCCGTCTTCTGAGCGGAAGAACGAGAGTAGTTGTGGCCCTGCCCGGATCGAGTATGCTTGAAGGGCTTTGGGATAAGAAGGGACAGGCTGCTGCTAGCCCTGTCTCGGTCCCTATCACTCTGATACAGAACGGGGACATGTACTAGAAGGCGTCTGCTGTAACCACCAGTGCAAGATAATTCAACAACTGGTGTCTGATTTCATTCAGAACTGCCTTTTCTCTATCAAAACAGAGAAGAAGGAGGCATCCATGGGGGCGTTGTCATATTCTCAGGCCAAGCATTTTGCAATTCAGTATTCCATTGAGCTAATCTGGAACAAACCGCACCTCGGGCCAGAAGAGGATAACTTGTTTTGCTTCCTCTGAATAGTTTCCTCTGCCAACATTCCAGTTTCTACCATCAGTCCTGCAGCATTTGGACTTCCTTTAGTCAAAAGGTGCAACTGGAAAGTGAAGGTGGCCATTTGATGGTTCTCTGAGGGGTCATTGGGAGTCCCTTGGTACTAGGTAGTCCTGTTGTTGAATGGATGTGAACTGTTGCTTGGCAGTGTAAGTGCCTTGTCCTCACCTTGCTTCTATCTTTAGGAACATCAAGTTTGTACCAGGAAATTTCTTCGCCTCCCAAATACCACCCACTGATTACCCAAAGCCTTTTCTTTTGGACTGGCTATATTCAAACACTATGTTAATTTGGCTTGGCTCCTCCTTTCTTGGCCCATTTACCAAGAACACTGGGAAATGAATCCTTTCAGACAGTAGCTTCCTGTATTATTACTGTTTTGATAGGATCAGTGGAGATGCTCAAAACATCCCACATTAATATATATATTTTTGATGTTAAAAGTTTATTAGTTCAGTGTTTCACTTATTGAATTTGAAGTATATATATATTTTTAATCTTTGTGTCAATAAGTAGGGATTGGGGAGTTGAACAGAATTTCTCTAGTCCATTGTCTAGAAAACATTTTGATTTAGGCATTATTTTTCACACTCACGGTTGGATCCTGAGGACTTGTCCACCTCAGAAGCCTAAAGGCAGAGGAGTGGGGTTGGGCCACTCCCTGGAGCTCTCAGAGCTATAGACAAGCTGTGTGAGCCATTAGATGAAATCTTGCCCCAAACACTAATGTAATGGGTTTATGTGACTCTCTTATTCCTCTGAAAGTTTTTCCTCTTCTCTTCAGAGCTAAAATAAAAGCAAACTATGCTGTTTGGATGAAGTCACAGTCAGATGGTATGCATCAGTTTGGCCTCGCTGATTCTGCTTATGGTCATGCTGCCATCTGCTGGAAGAAAGGGATCAAGTTTTAAATTCCTCCTCCCCCCTTTAAAAAAATAATCGAAATGATCAGATTTTTCTCCCCACCCCCTTTTTTTTAACTTGGTTCTAAAACTAAGACTAACTTAAGCCCCTCAACCTTTTTGTTGCCTGTGAAGTTTTGTGCCAAGGAAATAACTGCCCGGTGTTTCATGTCTTGCCTTCTTTGAGTCTGGCAGAGCAGAGATGCACCAAACAGCCCCAGCTTTTATTGATCAGTTCTCTCTTCTTATCCCTAGAACCTGACAAGCCAGGAAGAGGCCCTGGGTTATGTCTGCACTTAGCGCCTGTGATTGCCAGGGGTGGGTGGATGTGGGCAGTAGTGTGAGTGCAGAGGTGTTAAGGAGCTGGGTGTTGCTCATGTTCTGATTTTGGGGAATTTGACTGCATTGGGGTAGGTCTGTACAGTTACTTATGTCATCATAATGATTTCACTCCTGATCTTTTTTTCAAATGTGTGAATAAATACATAAAGATTGGTATAAAAGAGTGTTTGTTTTTGGACAGATGGTGGTGGGGAAATCCTGCATATTAGGCTTATCATTTCTTCCTGACTGTAAAGTTTGAGAAGAATAGTGTTTCTACTCATAGATTGGCATGTGGAAGTAGTCGTGATCTTTCCTGCTGGTGGCTGGCACAGCTAACCACTTTGTCTAGACACTGAGCCCTTTCCAGGTGACCAGTTGGCAGCTGAAAACAAGCCAGCTATTTCCACTTTGTGCTGGTCTACTAACCCATGTCCTTTGTTCTTTAAAGTAGCGTTAACTTGGAGGAAACAGAGATAGAGCTTTGCTGATAAAGACTTGAGGAAATGAGGAGAGGAGGGGACTTGAGCAAGCCCAGGTCTAGATTGTGGAGGGGTGAATCAGGGCCCTGTTGGAGAGGGAGGGTGGTGAGCTCAAAACGCACATGGCCTGTGGAAAGTAGTGTCACACAGGCAATTATGCTAGAATGCAGATTTGTTCCAAGGCAATTGATGGAGACACTGGGAACATAATGTGAAACTCAAATTGATGTGTGATTTTGCTCATGGGAAACACTGGGTCAACACAAATGCACACCCAGACTCTTAACTCTTTTCTCCCAAATTTCTCCAAGATGACTGGAGAGACACGTCAGGGAGTGTATGCTTGCAGGTGCTGTTCCGGTCTCCCCACTGCAGAAGCCCCTGCACATGTTCCTGCTGTGGTTCTCCAGGCTGAGTTGAATGCTGATCCTCAGCAGCTGAGCTCTGGCTGAGAGCAACATGTCCCCGGTCGGACAGCTCTGGCTCCCAGGAAGTTCTTTATGTCCTTGGATTGGCAGGAAAAATGCTGCCATTCTTGGAGACAGTGTTCATGGGATTCAGCTTTTCTCAGGCTTCATGTCTCCAGCGGCTTCAAAAATCTTCCAAGTTGAAAGAGTAACAATACAGGGTGGGGCAGAAGTACGTTTATAGTTTGAATGGAAAAAGACAGGCCGGTTGTGATTATTACAATAGCTTCATTAACTTTTGTGTCCTCACAGCTGTAAACCTACTTTTGCCCCATCCTGTAATAAACCTTGTAGACTCCTCCTCATCCCCTACCTTTGCAGATAGTTAACAGCTTGCTGTGGTGTGTGCTTTTTCTCTACATGTACTGCTGAGGACTGAACTGTGTCCCTGTAAAATTCATGTGCCGGGGCCCATGTGATGGCATTCTAGGCGGAGCCTTTGGGGGGTGATTAGTATTAGATGAGGTCAGAGTATGTGGCCCCCATGATAGGATTAGTGCCCTTGCTTGTTCTACCTTCTCGCCATGTGAGGACAGGAGGTGGCCATTGGCAAGCTTTACCAGGGAGACAGCTCTCGCCAGGAACAGAATTGGCCAGCACATCAGTCCTGGACTTTTAGCCACTAGAACTGTCAAATTCTGTTGTTCAATCTACAACCAAAGTAGATTGATACACTTTCATCACTATTTGAAAGTAAGTTGTAAACATCACCATATTTCACTCGTAAACATGTGAGTGTGCTCTTTTATAATGGTCTGTGTAACCACACTACCATTCACAAACAGATAACTAATCTATCTAATAATGTCCATATTAAAAGTTCCCCAGTTGTGCCCCCAAAGGACTTTCCTAGCACCTCCCCCAAATCCAGGCTCCAGTTAAGTGTCCCGTGTTGTAATAGCAGCCAAGTAACTAAGGCAGCCGCAGCCTGTCCTTCAGGTGGAATTAGCTTCACGGGTGCTTTTGGGTAGCACAGTTTAGTGCAAGGGTTCTCCAACTCGGCTGTGCCTGGGCCCCACCTGCAAAGGCAAATTAGAATTGCTGGGGTCCAAAGTGGAATGTTTTTGCAGCCAAAAGGATCCAAAAGAGGCAGCAGCCTCCCTTGATCTGGAACTACCAATATAAGCTGAGCTGTCAATTCGTCACACTGTTGGCTCTCGTTGGGATTACTGAGCGCTGGCTGTGCTGGACACTGCTTCACCCTCCCTGTGAGTATGTAGCTATCCTGTTTTACAGGAAGGAAACGGTACCAGAGAAATCATTCCGTTGCTCAAGGTCACAAGAAGTGACATCCTTAACACAGACCTGGCTGTGACCTTTCCAGACACTTCTAGCAGCATGGCTCGGTTAGTTTCTCATAAATGCTGCATTGCAAATTTCTTCCTGGGGCCATTGACTTACTTCAGAACCTGGATCGTAGGCTTTCTTTTTATCTATCTTTGTTAACTTTTTGTGCTTTAAATCCCTACTTCCACTCCTCTTGGAGGATCAAAGCATAAATATCTCTTTCCTGAAACTTTCAGGGTGTACAACACTTAGTATAAAGCAGTGGTTCCCAAACTTATTTGGCCTACCGCCCCCTTTCCAGAAAAAATATTACTCAGCCCCTGGAAATTATTTTTTTTTAAATTTTAATAGCAGTTAACTCATCGCCCCCAAATGCACCTGTGGCCATCACCGCCCCCCGGATCGCTGCAGCGCCCACCGGGGGGCGGTAGCGCCCACTTTGGGAATCACTGGTATAAAGGGAGGGGCAGTATTCTTGGGGACATTTTGAGGTCTCATGTTCTAAAAATGTTTATTACAAGATGACCTGTCTCTGTACCCAGTGTGGTAGGACAGGGGTCTGAAAATAATCTTCATAAAATTTAACAACTCTGATTTCTAATGAATAAACTTGAAAGTGTCTAAAAAAACTATAGCACGTGGATGGAAGTGATCGTAATGTAAAATAAGCTTGTTTTTACTAACTTCAGTGATTACTTGATGGAGCATCATTCTAAAAGAATCCTCAGGCCATACACTGTCGTCACAATTGCTTTTAGAGCCTCATGGTTAATTATGCTCCACAAATACACTTAAAATTTTTTCGAACAACTTACAAAATGACCTAACTTTATCTACTTTTAAAGAGCCTAACCATGTCCAAAAATGTAGGGTGAATGTTTGAAAGTAGTAATATTTAGGTGTTTTTATGGTGAGTGCATTTTTTCATATCTTAAAACTCTGCTGTGTGTGTATATGAGTTAGGATTATGTCCTCCCAGACCCATGCTACTGCTGTCTTGAACCCCCTTCCATCACATGGCATTGTGTTCTATTTCTTGATAAACTATAATTTGTTAGTGCTTTTCCTAAAATGTGGAATCCAGGACTGGACCTGAGTGCTCCCTGGTGGGTAAGCACCCTGAGGACAGAGGCTGTGTCTGCTCATTGCCGGCTTGCCGAGTCCTCGGTGCCTCGGGTGGGAAGAAAATGTCCCTCCCCTTGAGGACACTCCCCAGAATGCCACGCCATTCCTGCTTACATCCCAGTGGCCAGAACTCAGTCAAAAGGCCACACCCAACTGCTGAGATAGAATCTGTGCTTCAGGCAGCCAGAATGGAAATGGGGGTAACTGACAGGCTTTGCCAAATTATTGCTAAAATGTATTTACCTACAACTTTAAAGGCATCGCTTCAAAGACTGGATTCACTTAGAAATGTCACCAGAAAGGGGCCAAGCCCCTGGCAGGCCAATGCTCTATCCACTGAGCAAACCAGCTAGGGCTGTGGGTTCTTGACTTGTGCAGACAACATGTCAAGACAGGAATCCAGGTGAAAGTATATTAAAGCTTGGGACAGGATTGAGGAAGCAAAATCAGGAACGGGATTGAGCTGAGAGAGCTGCTTTGGACCTGAGAAAAGTGAGGCAAGAGGAGGGTCCTTGAGCTTAGAAAGTCAAGTACATGGGAGGAAAGGGAGGCTCAAGGGAGCGAGAGCAGGGCAAGTGCTGGGTCCTTTGTCTTGAGGGTTTTACCTGTTTTCCTAGGCGGGGATTTTAGGGGAGGTCCCTGGTGAGGATCTTAATATTTAGCTCTCCAGGTGTGTCCTTGAGTATGTCGATTTATCAAAACGAGCTTGGTCACTTTCAGCTCTATCTTGGATTACTCTTGATCTAATTGGTTTTCTGGGTTTGGGTTTTTGTTACGTGTTCCCCTGAGAAGGGTGACTTAAGCCATTTGCTCTTAGATATCTTTGGTTGGGGAGGAGAGATTTAAACCATCCGCTCCTAGGTGTCTTTGGTTAGGGAGGACAGGGCCCTGTGGTTTATTAGCTGGCTGGTGATGCTCAGCCGCTCGGGCTGTTTGTTTCCTCATTCTGATACCACTGTAATTAGCTAATCCTATCTAATAAAGAGCTAATATGCAAATGGTCATCACGCCCTCGCACCCACAGCGCTGGGGCCAGGGGACCTGAGGCTGCGCCCCCTGCCCTGCAGGGCTAGATGGGGGTGGGGCCAGCTGGGTCTGGGTCTCGCACAATTTCGAGGCGTACGTGGGTGGGCTGGGACTTGACTCTGGGTCCTATGGCGTGCCCCAGACTTTGAGAGGAGGGAGATTTTCATATACATTTTACTAATTTTCTTTCATCTCTGACACTTCTATTATAGAGAAAGGGCAAATAGCAATATTAGAATATTTCCTCTAATTAATTCCCTTTTAATATGCATGAATTTCATGCACCGGGCCACAAGTTATTAATAACAGTAAAGGAGCAAAAGGAAGGCTAGACATAAGCACATTCCCTGCAAAACATTGGGGCAAGGAGACTGGACAAACGGAAGATAAACACATGCCCAGTTAAGTTGAGGTGACAGGGTAGATAGTTGCCTGTCAATCACACCTGCGGACAGGTGGTTGGCTAGAATGGGCGTGGCCACTGCAAACTCATGAAGATTTGGGATACTTAATACCCTGAACAAAGACACTCGCTCTCTTGGTTCCTCTTGGCACGCTAGCTCGTGGTTCATGCTTGGCTTCCTGGCGCACTGCCATGCGGACCCCCACACACAATGGACTGATGGACTGCATCTAGTGTGATGCTGTACTGGACCTGCTACAACATGGAACAGACACTGGACACTGGCTTCTAGCTCTACTGAAACCCCGGCTACACTCCTCTGACTGGACTAAGGGAAATGGGACTTTAGAAACACAGGGATTTAATTGCAAGCAAATAAAAATCACTCGTTC